TTTATACTTTCTCGTACTGTACAGCCCACTTTTCCAAACAAGCCATGATTGTATGCCACTTTTCAACAGAATATGCTAGTCGAATTAGGATAATAATAAACAAGAATGCACATAAGTATTACGCATACACTGATAATTCGAAATAGCACGAAGTTAACTCATACCAGGTCGCTACCATAGTACTGAACAATGTTTACATGTGAAAGCCGACTGAGCAAATCAATCTCCTGCTCAAACAGCCAAAATTGGGAACAGATCAGATAGACCAGAAAGCATCAAGCATAAAAGTGTGAACCAAAAATACAAGTACTGTAGATAGTAGGTACTATATAATTCAAGAAAGCTTGGATTGCGGATGAACCTGATTCAATTGCTTGAGACATTCTTTGGATAATTGATCGTCCGAAACAACCCGGACTTCCTTTATGGCACACATTTGACCGTTCTCACTGTCACGTTTTTAGACAATTCATTGAACAATAATACTTTATCACGATATAAACAAATTAAAGTTGAAGCTTCATTACAAGTTGAATCCGAGATAAACATGACCAAATGTTCCCCTTCCTAGAAGCCTCCCTTTCCTCCATTTTGATGGATTACAACATGAGGTTTTAGTTATCCCGGGACTTCTTGGGGTCGGCAACATAGAAGGGTTGGCAGGAGAACCAGGTGGAAGGGGTAGCTTATGACATTCACTCTTTCCATCTTCTGGTTTCCTGGTCGGAGACTCCATATTAATACCATAACATCGCAGATGAAGAGGTGAGGTAACTTTGGTAGTCCCCTGTGCTCCTTGACTTGGGCTTCGCAACAAAGGACTTAATTTTTTATCTCGAGGTTCTCTGCCAACAAAGGACATCCGTAAGATTATTTACCAAACTAGATGAGACTAGACAGTATCCACCTTATGCTCATCGAGTTATTCATGTTTAAAGTGATAACTTTTAATGACAATATTCTACAGTTTTTCTTCCAAAAATAATTGATATACAGACATATAATTGAACAGAGGTAAAAATAAAGTTTCAAATTAAAGCCTCACTTTTATTGCTCTTTCTCAAGAAATAATCAATTTACAAGTCATTCCAGGAACCAAGTCCCCTTTATTTTCAAGAATAAATTGGTACCAAGTTTCAACTTTCATCAATACACACTTTCTTCCTAATAAATCTGGACTCCACAACGTGTATCAATCTGCTCAACTCTATTACATACATTCAATGTTAGACCCAAAATTTAACCCGAAAAATCCAATCTTAAGAGAGTTTGAAACCAACCTGAAAGCATGATCAACCACAACATGGGCATGGCCACAAGATGATTCGGATGAACCAACACTGGAAACGGAACCCGACCCGGATGCATATCCAGCTCCGAGAGCACGATTATGTTCATTCGATGACTCCAAAGGACTGGGCAATGGGAGCCCTCCACCTTGTTTCCCTATAGCAGCAAAATCCCTGCTTTTACTCGGTGAATTTGATGAATCCTTTGAAGAATTCTCATACTTACTAGTCTTTTTCCCCCACCAGGATGGCATATTTATTCAAGAAAAGAAATGTGAACTTTATATATCTCTTGTGTTCATATACATATATGAAAGTGGGGTGAATGAAATTGCTATTGAGGTTTGTGGAGGAGCTCAAGGAAAAAAGATCCCAAGAGAATTGCCGAGTAGGGGTGGGGTAAGGTGGGGTGATGTGGTGTGTTAGGGGGCGGCGGAGTTTGCAAAAGTTCGATGTCTATATTTACGTCTGTAATCGGTCTCTGAATGCATGCATTTTTTTTTCCCTTGAAATGAGTATTTTTTTTTATTTTTTTTAAATGAGTTTTAAAATAGTGATTTTTTTTTTAAGGATGTGTAATTAAAAATTAGGAAAAAATTTTAACTTTGCGTGCAAAATATTTTATCTAGTAATTTATATAAATTAAAAATATATTTTACCAAAAATTAAAAATAAATTACTAGATAGAAATATAAATTTTCAAAAAGTTTATGACTTGCATTTGCCACCTGCAGTTAAAGTCAACTGGATTTAAATCTTAAAATATTTGCATGAAAAATGACATGTTATTGAGAAAGTACAATTGTGCAAGCCAAAAAAGAGAATAAACTCCCAAATACATAGGTGATTGTCCCATGCAACTCGACCATAGACAAAAAGAGAGGGGTCCACCACATCATAGAAAATAAATAATAATAATTATTGAGAAAATATCTTTATCATTTGTTTTTGCTGTACAAATCATCCATATCATTTCACTTTTAATATTTGCAGGGATCAAGCTTGGACTACGATCCAATGTAGGCCTAACTTTGATTTTTTAAACAAAGTAACAACACAAGAATTGTACACTTTTTACAATTTTTTTTTATTTAAATTTTTCATTTTATACTTTGTATATTTAATACATTGAACTACACAAGATTAAGAAATAGAGACGTATGATAAAAGATCGTTAATTTGGTGCCTAATCCTATTCAATATATGGTCGTGGATGAAGATATGAAAATTGGACATATCATTCTTTATTCTATCGAAACATTCCCTTTTATGTAAATATATCTAAGTTAACCTTTAGATCATTATGTAGTTTAGATCAATTAATGCACAATCTGACTTTTCCTCAAAATTTACATCACATATTTTGCAAAGGAATTTGGTTGATTGATAAGTGTAGTAAGTGTAGTTTCTACACTTACTCCAGATCCTAAATGACGATTTTTTACTATTCTTTGGATAAAATATTACCTAACTTTGTTATATTTCATTTTGTAGGTAAAACTCAATATTTGATAAATAATTGGAGAAAAAAATAGCGGAAATGGACTCAATTGTATCAAATAAAAAGTTGCTAAATGAATTATTGACCTCTAAGCCTAGTCATATCAAGCTGACACCTCATTCATTAAAGTATGTAAATGACATTATTTTCATTTCAAAGTAGGTCCCGAACATTATTTCCATTTGAAAAAAATGCTAAAAATTTTCTTAACATATCTCATGTGCGTGCATGTCCCATTTGATGTGCAGTGATTTGTGCATAAGTAGGTACATAACGTGAAGAAAGCTATGCATTTAATAAAAGATCACAAGTAAATAACTTATCACATGGAACCGAAAAAGGAAATTAATCCACTGTAGGGATGGTGCGTAGAGACTCAAATAAAACAAATACATACGAAAATGAAATTGAGCCAACATAGTAAGAAATCAACTTCTTCTATCCCTTTTTATGCTCCTCGAAAACCTACTCACCCAATCTATCTTTTCATTTGCTTTCATCATTATTTCGAGCACGTCCCTGGTACTCTTACGTGTTAGAAGCAGCACACATAATGAAATATCTCTGTTTTTAGCTTCAGCCGATCAATCACAAACGGATCTTCAACACATGTTTTTGCATCATTTCGAGCTTGACGGATGATATCGTTGATCTTCGCCGAAATTTCCTCCACGGCATTATTAGCGCGGTCAATATAGAATGAAAATTTGAGACTTGTCAATTTCTTTTTCTTTCCCTTCTACTTGCCCAACCCAAACTAACGTTTGTCCCCGCTACAAGCAACTAAAACCCCATGCTCGATTTACCTTTCGAGTTCAATGACTCGTCGCTTGAGACACTATTATCATCGTACAGGGATCGCATCTCAAAGATCCTCCATACCGTTGTCTTTGAACAAGTCAAACCCTTTTCTACACAGCTTCGTTGGTGTGACTGCATATTTTTCCCTGTCAAAGGTGTCTCCGAACAGCCATCAATACCGAAGTTATATGTCACTAACATCTGTCCTTATAATACTTACATTTTCTATTCTCCTACGACAGCATTAAAGATAAATAAGTACTATGATTTGAACATTGTATAGCATTAAACACACATGCATAGGTTACATTACAAAAAAATGTACAGTACACATCTTCCAATAATTTAACATCTCTACCCTCATATCCGTATTCACTACAACCCAATAGGTTCACGCCAAACTTCCCATCATCCAAATATATTTCATCCAAAGGACATGGGCTAGTAACAAGAAAATATTGATTTCTCCAATTTATGTCAATAATGTTAGAGTTGTCTAATGCTAATTTATACATCAACCACGTCCAGTCAACAACATTTGTAAGCATTACAAACAAAAGAACAGGCATCTTGCTAACAATAGACTATAAGTCAAGACACATTTGTAGTCATGAAATGAATATTTTAGCAATCCATAATTTCAAACAGTTGAATGCCTTTTTATCATCAACGTTGTGCCAGGGTAAACGGAAACTCCTAAGTGGCAACTATTTGAAAAACAAAATTCAACAACACAAGCAATCACAGGGGAATTTCTAAACGATAAATTTTTCACGTGCATTGCATATGCGTACCACTAGTTCTACTTAAAAGTGTTCAATTCTTCTATCATCTTATTTTGTGGTGTGTAGTTTTAAGTTTAGAAACATGAAAACCAAAAACAAAAATTGAAGTAATTGCTTAACTGAAAAAGCACAAATGCAATTAACAGAGGGAGAGAGCAACCTTAATTTTTCAGTACCACCAGTCCTCGTTAGCGTAAATGTGTTCGGTTGTTGAATTGTACTTGACCCCGTTACAATTAAGCAACTTTATCACCCGTTGGTGGTCTCACCTCATGGAGTCCCATTTGTTTCTCACCTGTTGCTTTCTCCAGTTGCGCATGGATGTTGAATAATAATATAACTCACTCCTACCCGGGTTTGGTTAAGAAATTAACTTGGCGATGACCCTCCTCGAGGTCTATTTCGCAAGTGGCTATGAACACCTTCAGTACCACCAGACTCTATCGTGCATTTTTCGGAAGCATTCATCATTGTTGATTTCGACGGGTGCAGATGAGCCGGCATCTGGGTGATAACCAACCTGCATTCGAGAGTTAGTAACAAAAATTCATCAGCATCCACAGCCTACTTGAGAAAAGGGGGGAGGAAGACGACTTTTATCTTACAAACAGGACATACGAGAAGTTAAATCCAAAATGATTGACTTTTGCTTACTGGCCTCAGAGTAATGTGGATCCATGAGCGGTAGTAAATCATAGTTCATGGCCACAACAAACTTTCAGCGGCGGAGATGAAGTTAAAACGAAAAGGGGAATTTTTATAAATGTCACTAAACTTGAAAATTCAAAAAAATATGTTATTTTCACTTTTTTTGAGCAAAAATGTCACTTTTTTTGTGCAAAATGTCCAAATTACCCTTAATAGCACCTTTGGAGGAGCATTTAATATTTGATTTGAATGCAATTAATATTATGATGTGATCATTTACTTTAAATATTATAAAA